TGTTTCTCCTGTAATTAGTCGATCTGTTTGTGAAATATTACTGTTTCTCCTGTAATTAGTCGATCTGTTTGTGAAATATTACTGTTTCTCCTGTAATTAGTCGATCTATGTTTGAAGTATTACTGTTTCTCCTGTAATTAGTCGATCTATGTTTGAAATATTACTGTTTCTCCTATAATTAGTCGATCTGTTTGTGAAATATTACTGTTTCTCCTATAATTAGTCGATCTGTGTTTGAAATATTACTGTTTCTCCTGTAATTAGTCGATCTGTTTGTGAAATATTACTGTTTCTCCTGTAATTAGTCGATCTGTGTTTGAAATATCACTGTTTCTCCTGTAATTAGTCGATCTGTTTGTGAAATATTACTGTTTCTCCTGTAATTAGTCGATCTGTTTGTGAAATATTACTTTCTCCTGTAATTAGTCGATCTGTTTGTGAAATATTACTGTTTCTCCTGTAATTAGTCGATCTGTTTGTGAAATATTACTGTTTCTCCTGTAGTTAGTCGATCTGTTTTTGAAATATTACTGTTTCTCCTGTAATTAGTTGATCTGTGTTTGAAATATTACTTTCTCCTGTAATTAGTCGATCTGTTTGTGAAATATTACTGTTTCTCCTGTAATTAGTCGATCTGTTTGTGAAATATTACTGTTTCTCCTGTAATTAGTCGATCTGTTTGTGAAATCTTCCTACTGGATATGAGTCATTAACTTAAATTTGAAAATTACAACATTCGTTGATAAATTATAGCTGTATTCTTGATTTTTGAAAATAAACTTTTGTACTTAGGGACGTAATTAATAACATTTCTATTATATATTGCACTAAGAAAAATAACTAATAACTTTTATAATAATATCTATAAGTTGTACTAAATATTAATTAGTAACATATATATAATTATCTCTTACAAAGAAGAATAATTAATAGTAATTAACTAGTAGATAGATATTAATGAAGTTATGTATCCAGTGCCCAATTAAGAATTAAATTGTTTTAAATGTAATTATGGTCCCTTGTTAAATGGAATAACTTGCGATGGTGCTGCCCTCTACAATTGACTGTAGATAGTCCGCGTCTAGTTCATTGTGTAAATATTTCTGAGTGATATCAAAAGTCTTCAAACAATCTTATTAGATCTTCACACAGAAACGAAATGTACGCGAACAACTTATCCAAACACAGATACCCGCTGAATGAAACGCCCCTTTATCTGTTTCCTGGCGCGTTTCAACCGATAGCTTTAAAACCGAATTACCCTAATAACACGTTTTATTGAGCGCTCTCTGTGTTTTCGTAGCCAATATCGTTGGAACTGTAAATAGTAACGCCTTTCTCGAAACGAACTGTGTAATTACCGACGGCCTGATAAAACTACTCGCGTTCAAAAGTGGACAAAGCGCCGTACGAATAGTTCTTCCCTCCGTGTGTTGTTTCTGCGATAGGCGTAGACCAACTTGTGGAAATGATTTAGTGTTACGATTAAACTCGGACAGAGCAGCATTCTTCGTAATTATAATTCAGTAGATAAAAACTGAAAAAGGAAAATTAGGGTAATAAGTCGATTATCCAATTCAAATTCTGTAAAGTAGTTATTATTAATTATTTATTCAAAGCTTTCCATTAAAAAAAAGTCATAACAAGTTAGTGCTACAACTGATAATTCAAACCGATCCTTTCTCGTGTGTGCTGGCAAGTTTAGGGTTAATGACCTCTCTCATAATAATAACATAGACAGTCGTTTCAGGTTAGTGATTTTAGGAGTACATTATTCGTGTATGTTAGTTGTGAAATGTGTGATTTTTGATTGTCTGCTAATCTTAGTATCGAATATTTAAAGATTTTGTAATCTTTTGTTTCGGTGTCGATATTTTGGAAGTTTTCAACGGGAATGGAGCGGTTATTACTCTCGACGTTTAAACGTATATAAAGACCCCTGGTGGATTAGTTCACCCATCCTTCTTGAAAACTTTATTTCTAATCAGTATTATGTGGGTAAGGGGGTGGGGGTGGGGATATTTTTGAAGTTTTCAACGGGAATGGAGCGGTTATTACTCTCGACGTTTAAACGTTTATAAAGACCCCTGGTGGATTAGTTCACCCATCCTTCTTGAAAACTTTATTTCTAATCAGTATTATGTGGGTAAGGGGGTGGGGGCATCCTTAATTAGACAAAATGTAAATATTGTTCTCTGATTTATTCGCGTGGGAGTTCTCTTAAGCCTGATTCCTAAAACTAGCAGTGCTACTACTGAGCAGTGAAACCTTTAAATATCCAACTGATAGATTTCTCGTAGAGTGCGCTTGCGCATAACGCCGATGTGACTAGCACTTAAACACTATGACTTTAGCTGGAAACAAATTATAGCTATGAATGTGTTATGTGACTCCCTGACTGACTATAATTGTGAATAAAATGTCAAAGGAGAAAGAGCAAAACTTAAAGGAAATTTACTATAGGGGAGAGGGACATTCCCCCACAGTTGACAACACTGTTGCTGATATCATATATAGGATTTTTAGTTTCAACCAGTTAAGAATCTTTTCTGATATCGAATATAAAATATTCATGTAGTTACATATGCTTGATATTTCAATGAATATTGTGATGTGTAGAAAATAGGTTTTAGTTTTGTTTTTATGTTTATATCAGCTTTTCATGGGTTCTAATAGTGATCATTGACTCAGTCCGATATACCTTCACAAGCTTATAATCTAGTTATCTTCTCTGTTAGTTCCACCAGTTAAATTATCAAAAAGTTTCCTAGATGTTCTCGTCTTCATCTTCGTCACAGAGTTTTTATCTGTAACCTGCAATATTTTCTTCAAGTGTTAGCTTACGAATTCTTTGTTATTTTTTTTCCATTGGTTCTAGTTTCACGGTTTAATTTTTACATATTTAGATTGGCTGTAACAGTACAGTTTTATTTTTACATGTAGGTTCTTAGGGTTGCAGGCACTGAATATTGTCAAAAACCCTCAAGTCTACTTGTTAGGCACTCAGCCGTTGTGTAGTCAACTAACTGGACTGTCCAAAGGTCAGTTTAAACTCTGCTTGCTCTACTACGACCACATTCCCTACGTAGCCAGAGGAGCCAACTTAGCCATCAGCGAGTGTCATTTCCAGTTCCGGAATAGAAGGTGGAACTGTTCAAATGTAGCAAACACGTTCGACAAAGTTATCCAAATAGGTAAGTGTTAGTAATTTAATGTTCTATATAATAGGTAAGTGTTAGTAATTTAATGTTCTATATAATAGGTAAGTGTTAGTAATTTAATGTTCTATATAATAGGTAAGTGTTAGTCATTTAGTGTTCTATATAATAGGTAAGTGTTAGTAATTTAGTTGTTCTATATAATAGGTAAGTGTTAGTAATTTAATGTTCTATATAACCAATTTCAACAACTGATTTTTATTTCATGCTGTAATAGCCAGTTGATGGCAGTCAGTAAAATACCAATGCTTAGGCTAATCTGACTACTACAGAGTGAAGTTAGCTCAAAGTTAGTACATTATAGACAAGTTTAGGCTAATCTGACTACTACAGAGTGAAGTTAGCTCAAAGTTAGTACATTATAGACAAGTTTAGGCTAATCTGACTACTACAGAGTGAAGTTAGCTCAAAGTTAGTACATTCATAGACAAGTTTAGGCTAATCTGACTACTACAGAGTGAAGTTAGCTCAAAGTTAGTACATTATAGACAAGTTTAGGCTAATCTGACTACTACAGAGTGAAGTTAGCTCAAAGTTAGTACATTATAGACAAGTTTAGGATAATCTGACTACTACAGAGTGAAGTTAGCTCAAAGTTAGTACATCATAGACAAGTTTAGGCTAATCTGATTACTACAGAGTGAAGTTAGCTCAAAGTTAGTACATTATAGAGAAGTTTAGGATAATCTGACTACTACATAGTGAAGTTAGCTCAAAGTTAGTACTTCATAGACAAGTATAGGCTAATCTGACTATACAGAGTGAAGTTAGCTCAAAGTTAGTACATTATAGACAAGTTTTAAGTGAATGTTACAGCATAAAGTTCTCTTTGATTCCTATCTGGAAACAAGTTTGGACTTGATATTTTTATCTCAAATTCCTCCCGAAATTTGGCATTGTTACGTATTGAGAATTTGAAATAACCCAAAGCCGCGTTAAATAATTTAACTTTTAATAGTTGAACTGTACTCTAGATTTAGTGTTTAGAAATATGCCAATATTTCATTTAATTTACGCTATTTGTCAACAAGCTTGATTCACACCGTTTTTGTTTTTGATACAAATACGTTTTAATATATATATACAACAGTATAATTTACAATGGCAACTATTACGATTAGTTATTACAAACAAAGTTTCATAAACAGAAATTTCACTAACTTACAAATAACCTAAAATCGGCTTCCTAGTTCAGAGTCTCCTTGATATCCAGCGAGTTAACTTGAAGTCAATTTACGTACAATTATCGGGAAGCTAGCTAGCTTTGTCAGACACTGAATTGTTGGACCGTCGAAGTAAGATAATATTTTCATAAGACCACTAATTTCCGATGAGAAACCAGCAATATTTTTGGAAAGATACTAACGTTTGATGAGAATTCACTGACGTTCGAAATTTATAGCTGTTCCTGGCCAAATGTGGTATGTTTTCCGGTTGGTAGGGGTTAGCAAAATCACGGCTTATCGCGTACACACGGTTATAACAGTTTCCTAGCAGACTTGTATATTAGCCCTCTTCTCTGTTCTCTGTTGTTTTTTGGCGCATTGCCCTGCTGTTTTTATAGGCGAGACACATTTTCTAGAAACTTCTGATAATACCGGTTACAGAAGTGGATATATTGTTGATTCTTGTGTTCACAAATATTCTACAATCTTGGAGATTTGGCGGGAGTTTCGCCATACGTAACTAACACAGTAAGCTATACACGTCCTCAAATATAAACTTATTTAAAATAAACATTGACATTAAGATAAATATATAACAAATTCATTATCCACAACACATATCTGAT